GACTGAAGAGACCCGGGTTCGATTCCGGTCAAGGGCATGTACCTTGGTTGCGGGCACATCCCCAGTAGGGGGTGTGCAAGAGGCAGCTGATCGTTGACTCTCTCTCATCGATGTTTCTAGCTCTCTATCTCTCTCCCTTCCTCTCTGTACAAAATCAATAAAATATATTAAAAATAAATAAATAAATAATTTTTTAAAGATTTTTTTTTAAATTGATTTCAGAGCAGAAAGGAGAGGGAGATAGAAACATCAGTGATAAAAGGGAGTCAGTCATATATTGGCTGCTCCCTGCATGCCCCCTGCTGGGGATGGAGCCCTCAACCCGGGCAGTGCCCTGACCTGACCTTCCTGATTTATGGATCAATGCTCAACCATTGGGCCACACTGGCCAGGCCACTTCTACTTTTTGAACATTCACTTGGGTCATTTTAAGCAAAGCTCTAATGGATAAATATGGGATGGTAGTTTTTATTTCCCCTCAAAGTAATCTGAGATATTGCTCATATTCAACACAGTGTGGTTATATTTCTCTTATGGAATTGCAGTCATTGAAATGGTATTTTTGTTCGTTTACTGAGTAGGAAAAAGAAAAGTTTAAAAAGTCTTGAGATGTTAGTCAACATGAGGAATCATACAGTTGAAGTTATTTTCCAGTGTTTGTTCAAACATTCAGACCTGTCTGGCTCTTTTGGTTTACGAGTGGAGAGGTTCTAGGCAGGCTGGCCACATCCTCATTGGTTTGTATAAATATACTAGAGTCCCAGTGCACGAAATTCGTGCACAGGGGGCAGGGAGGAGAGTCACTCAGCCCAGCCTATACCCTTTCCAATCCAGACCCCTCAGGGGAGTCCGACAGTCGGACATCCCTCTCTCAATCCAGGACCATTGGTTCCTAACCTCTCACCTGCCTGCTGGCCTGGTCGCCCCCAACTGTCCCCGCTGCTGGCCTGGTTGTGCCACACAACCTGCTGCTCAGTCGTTTGGTCGTCCCTCACTAACCCCCCTACCGACCTGGTCACCCCCCGCAGCCTGTTCCATCACACCGGTTCAGTTGTTTTGGTTGCGACGGTCGCTTACGCTTTTATATAGATAGATTACAAATTATTATCCTCTTGCCAAATATCAGGGATTTCATTTCTTGTTTAGCTCAGTTACTTATCTGAGATTTGCATCTATTTTCTCTTTATTTCCCACCAAAGTGCCTATTATTTGATTTGTGATAATTCCAGAGGGAGTCTTTGTAGATGAAAAAGCATCATATATATTATGTCCTAAATGCTTAAAGAACATTATAAACTGATGAACCAAAAGATAGATATAGAGACAGTAAAGCAACAAGCAGACTGTCAAATTACAGCGGGGAGGGGAGGAAGATCTGGGGGAGATAATAGATCAACCGAAGGACTTGTATACATGCATATAAGTACAACCAATGGACATAAAACTCTGGGGAGGGAGGGTATGTATGGGAGGGAGGGGGGCAAAAAAAAATCAATAAAATATATTTTTAAAAAATAATAATAAATAAATAAATAATAAGATTAATATTTATAACTGTTGAGTCAAAAGACACGTTTCTACCCATTGTGACTAAGTAACTTAATTATTACTCTGATGATGTTTACTGAACAATTAAGTCAAACTAAATTTCTTATTTAAGTGAAGAGCAATATCTCCCAGGACTTCTGCAGAGTACTGGGCTATAGGATGTTGATACCCAACATTAGAACCAAAAAGAGGATATCCTGCAGGTCTTCCTGGGACTTTCACTTCCCTCGAGGTCACTTGTGAATTTTGGAAGAGAATGTACTATGCTCCGTTTCCCAAATGAAATTAATAATGCCACCTTTAAAAAGGATCATCTCCCTGAACAGCATGAGCTGCTCCTACCTTCCGCCATTCTTTTTGTAGCCTGGGACACGTATATAAAGATTGATATAAGGAGATTCTACTCTGTATATTGTGACACGGCTCTTTAAAAATTCCACTTCTTAAAAATTACCAGTTAAAATTAAGGCCTTTCCAAACTGGCAGTTAAAACATAGTCTTGGGGGTATAAATTTCAGCATAGAGAACAGAAGCAATAACATTGTAATAAGTATATATAGTGACAGGTGGATACTAGAAATATTGGGTGGAAGGGGGCGGATTTTATAAAGTATATGACTGTCTGACCACTATGCTGTATGCCTGAAACAAACACAGAATAATAATGAATGTAAATTGTAGCTGAAAAATAAAAATTGAAAAATAAATAAAACAAAATTAGGACCTTTTCTCAAAATGGTGAGTCTTAATCTTTTGAGTAAAGTGATATAACTGAGGGAAAAGTACTTGGGTGGGTTGGATGTTATTCTTGTATTGTGTCATACCCAGAGTGCTTGCAAACGGTTTCATGAGCTGAAGCAACATTATACTGCCACGGCTGTTTGGTAACTTAACGGTTTGAGAGCAGGCGACTTCAGCTCTGCCGTGTGTTGTGATCACTTCATTCTCCAGTTATGTCCAGTCAGACGTTTCTTTTCCTTTTGCAAAGCACTTAAATGTCTTACATATTAAAAACTCTAAGTGTGGGGACGGTTGGGGGGTAGGGGGAGGTAGGAGATCAACCGAAGGACTTTCATGCATGCATATAAGCATGACCAATGGATGCAAGACACTGGGATGGGGGTGAGGGCAAGTGCCAGGGGTTAGGGGAGGCTGGGGGAAGGTCAATTGTGGGGGGAGGGGAGAGACATATGTACTACTATTTGTAATACTTTAAACAATTTAAAAATATATAAAAAGAACTAGAGTTACTAAAGCCATTGCCATCAGAAGAAGTGTAAACCCTGTGTCCTCAGTAAGGAAGTGTAATGGAAGCAGGTTTAAGGGAACATTGAAGAAGCACAAAAGTGGACGCATCAGATAGGGAGAAGCTTGGTTATTGGGAACTTCTTTTTCTTCCAAAGGAAATAAAAAGTGAAGCCGTCAAAGTCTGTGGGGTTTAACGGGAAAAAGATGGTTCTCAGGAGCCTATGAATACATGACTGTTACCTGGAATTACCCAGTTCATGGAGTTGTTTTGATAAACGTCTCGGGTGTCAGATCCATGCATAATAGCAGTCGTGTTTTTCACAGTGTGGCACTCAGATGCCTCATGTTACTTTCTATAATACACTTACTAACTTGAAGTTTTTACTTTATCAGAAAACTATTCCAGAACAAGTCACATTGGTGACGTTGGAAGAGTTTAGAATTTAGAAAAAAAAAATAACTTTGGCAGTAGATGATTAACACTTTAACATAATCATAATATTTGGAAGTAGATAAATGTGAGGAAGAAATTCAGTTGATCTTAGTGGATTTGAATGGAATTGTAGAACCCATCTCAAACTTTTTAATATAATTAAAAAGTAGTTTGAATCTGGCTGTGAAGTGTGTGTGGTTGGTGGTAGTATTGTTCAGTCCACTAAATTAAACTTATAGTGTTCTTAGTTTAGCATTGAGTCTAGATTCACAGAGAACGTTGTGGGTCCCACATAGCCTAGACATACAGTTGGGTGGTATGGTAACCAGGTAGGCATTAAAAATTTAACAGAGGTAATATATTATACAAAGTGGATAATTGAGAGTCAACCCTGCACTTTAGTAATTGGGTTATGTGCACATTTATAGTTAGTCCCTTTCAAAAGTGTTAATTAAGTTTTTAAAATGAAAGAAAATAATATAACATTTTATTAGCTTTTTCTGAGTGTTTCTATTACATCCTTGTCAAGAAATTTACTGACAGCTTGTTTATGAGTGGCTTGTTTAACTCTTCAAACATTTGCTGAACATCTCATGTACTAGAGAGTGTACTTTTATGATTGAAGTCAACGGAAAATGTGTTATTGACTTAAATATTATTTTGCTACGGAAAACTTTCTTTTTGAAACTTAAATTTTGAATTGGTGTAGGAATTTATGGGGAAAAAATTGAATTCGCCCAGCCATACTTGATCATGAAGTTGGTTAGTCTGTCTATATCATTTAAGATGACATAGTTTACCAACACAGTTTCTTCCCCTGAAAAGGAAAGTTTGAATTTTACAGTTTTAATTAGCATGATATTTGGAATTTTAAAAGCTAGGAATGTATGCCCTTTCTAGGGAAATCATTTGACTCATCAGGATGAGAAGGCTTTCTTAGAAATAAACCAAATTTCTCCATATCCCATCCTACTTATTTTCACAGACATGATTGTTCATACCTTAAATTCCAGGGAAAACTTCATTGCAGGGTCCAGCATCTCCAAAGAATGTTCAGTTATGCTTTTTAATGATTCTCGAACTGTGAGCTAAGAACCACCACATTTTTCCTAGGCTGCAGGTTTTAAAACTAGCAGTCGCAGCAAGTTCCACCTAAGGTCTTAAATAAGGAAACACCCCACACAGATATTCTCAGGCTCCACTCGTGTTCCTTTCTCTTTGCTACGTGTGTCAAGTCCTATTGAGTATCCTTTATAATAAAAGGCTAATATGCAAATCGACCGAATGGCGGAACAACCGGTTGCTATGATGCGCACTGACTACCAGGGGGCAGACGCTCAATGCAGGAGCTGCTCCCTGGTGGTCAGTGCACTCCCACAGGGGAAGCACCGCTCAGCCAGAAGCCGGGCTCATGGCTGGCGAGTGCAGCGGTGGCGTTGGGAGCCTCTTCTGCCTCCCAGGCAGCGCTAAGGAGTAGCCTGCCGAGTGGTAAGGTGCAGCGAGCAGGCGGGCAGTAAGGAGCGAGGGCTCCCAGACTGAGAGAGGGATGTCCTCCAAGGGATTTTGGGCTATGAAAGGGCGCAGGCTGGCTGAGCACACACCCCCTCACCCCAGAATGGGACTCTAGTCCTTACACATTATCCCAAGGAATGGTCAGCACTGGCCTTGTTTTTATTCCTGTTGGATCAAAATGAGGGACATATATAAGACATACAGGTTACATCTTTGCTTATTGCCACCCTACTTACTATCTCTTTCTTTTTCCTTTTAGGTTATTCGATGTGTGCACGGTGTCCCGAACAGACAGAGAAACTAAACTAACATTAGTGTTTGAACATGTAGATCAAGACTTGACCACTTATTTGAATAAAGTTCCAGAGCCCGGAGTGCCCACTGAAACCATAAAGGTACCAAGAATCATCTTTTTACCTGGTCAGATAGTCAACCTGTTACAGTCTTTCAATCAATGGCATTCTCTCCTTTATGGAAATTGCCACAATTGGAACTTTTGGAACTCACTGTATAGATAAATATATTTAATATAGCTAAGTGGGACATATTGTAGAAAATCCTTAAAAAAAAGGTCTTAATACACTTATTGAAAAATACCTATTTGTTAATTATGTGGCTCTAACTTTGGAAAGTATAGTGCAATAAGTATAACTCAGTGTTTTTCTGATGAGTCATGGCCTCTGAGAGGTATAATCTGAAACATCATATGTGAGCACATTAGATATTTTACTTGTACATTGACTCCAGGATATACCATGCTATGCAAATCAGAAATACTGGTCTCAGCCACTTCTTTCTCCAATTTTTCTCACTAATAAAAACATTTATAGGAAGCCAGTGCTAAGAACTATCCCAAACCCTTGAGCTTTAAAGACGGCTTTAGGTTGTTTAGAAGTCGGCAAGCTAAATGCAGTGTACTGACTAGAAATTCTTTCTTCCTTTAAGTGTAATGGGAAAAGCTTACAAAGTTTAGATGGTGTCTTCCTCCTGTTTAAATGAACTTCCCAGTAGGTCTTTTATTTATTTATTTCCCCAGTAGGTCTTTTAGATCTATGACATCATGTGCAGGTTTTCATGAAGAACCTTTGTTTTTGTGAATTGGGTGACTTAATAATCAGATTCCTTATCTTATTCATTGTGTATAAATGTCTATGATCAGAGCATGTCATGTTACAAAATAATTATAAAAGTGTAAAATATTTTGACATGTAATAGATAAAACAATATCTAGAAAAGGCCTCGTATCAGATCCTTCAGGCTAAGGGAATTTTCTTCAACCACTGTCTCCCGCTGTGTTTTCTGTGGCACTGTTTACCTATTAGCCTCCTTAAATTCGGGATATTCTAGAGTATGTTCAGAACCTAAATTGAATCAGGAGGGCACTAGTTGGGTAAAACTGGGATGCTCCATGTCTAGATATTCAGGGGTAAAATCTTCGTGCTTAATACCTGTTTGGTAGAAGAGAGCCCATGATAGGCTTATTTTCCCCATTTACATATATCACATAACAATGTTTCACGTTCTTTTAAATACTTTTTGGGTCTTTTTTAAGGAATAAAAACACCTTAGGTATTTGTGATGGTTGATAGTTGGGTGAACTCATTGGGGAAATCTTGTAATTATTGTGTAAAGCTCATGTCAGACTTTGGTAAAGTAATTCAAGGGTATAATCCTGAACTGCTCATTGTAATTGAGAGGATCGTGAGAATAAAATAAAACCATAGGTGTATTTTAAATTGCACCTTATTCTAAAAAAACTAATAAACACATATAGAGAGCTCATTCATACTTCATCTTGATGTTTTCATCACATTCTTTAGTCTCTTTTCTTGATGTCCCAAGATATAGCTGTTCATGTTGATGGTGACCTTTGCTTAAAGAAGCCTGCTGTACTATGAAGTCAACAAATATCAAATTTGGTCTCATAGGCATATCATTGTCATATCTTGCTTTCCTCTTTCTAATTCAGAAGTCATTTTTTTTTATCTACTTAATTATGGAGGACTTCATTGCTATCTTTGTTTAATTTTTATTTGATCATTTGAGATTTGAGATTGTTCTTAGACTTTCATCTTTAAACTTATAGGCAGAAATTAATACTTTATACACTTTTGGGGTTCATGATAAATTTTCAGTGTCTTTGCTTCTATAGCACCTTCTATTTATGGGGATTTCATGAGAGAGAAAAAAGGGCTTTCAGATTGCTGTTTTTTTTTTCTCTTTCGTGCCTTTATATGCCACCCTATGAGAAAGAAAGAACTGTAGACAAATTTCTTCACCTTGTTCCTTAGTCGTTTGTAACTGCTACCCAGAAAAAGGATCACTATATGACAGGATATATATGGGGAGAGATTCCTATGTAAAACCATAATGCTTTCAAAAAAGTAATGCCCTCTTTTTCTTTTCTTTTTAAAAAAATATACTTTATTGATTTTTTTTACAAAGAAGAAGGGAGAGGGATGGAGAATTAGAAACATCGATGAGAGAGAAACATCTATCATCTGCCTCCTGCACACCCTCCACTGGGGATGTGCCTGCAACCAAGGTACATGCCCTTGACTGGAATTGAACCTGGGACACTTCAATCTGCAGGCCGACGTTCTATCCACTGAGCCAAACCAGTTAAGGCTGCCCTCTTTTCCTGACCTGTCATTTGGTACTTAGGCCTCCCTTTATTAGTACATTATCTTTCCTCACATAGGACCTGGCTTATCGACTATCTAATCAAGCCTTTGAGAGCCTAATATTCTTTGGACATTCTGTGAATGAAACATGTTTGATGAAGTTGGCAATAACACTTCACAAGTGGGAATTGGAAGACCCTGAAAGGGCACACCGAAGATCAGCCACCTCTCCCAAATAGGATAGGGCTCTTTTAGGGCAAGATCATGTGGCCTCTTTGGATGACTCAGCCCTGGAATAGAAATTACATTTTATTTAGGCATCTCTGACAAATGAATTCTATAGGGCTTGAGAAAGCAGAAAAGGTTTGTGTGTCTGCATGGGTCATTTTCTCTGTGAATTACATTTCATTTTATCTTCAGCTGAATGTTTCTTGGAGATTTCTGTTGGTTGTAACAGTTTCAGTCGGAGATTACGTGTACTATTAGGTTTGTTTTACAAGGCCCAGACTTCAGAGGCTGACACACACTCCTAATAGCACCTGTTTTCTGCCACTGGAAAAGATCTGTTTTCATGAATAATATCTGCCTGCAGTAAACAGTGGCTCTGGTGTCAGTAATGGGATGCCCGGGGCCGACTCATCTTTTTAGAGCTGACATCATGCGAAGTGACTGACCGGTCGGTCCCCTGTACTGCAGAGGAGGAAAGTCTCCCAGAACTTCTCTCCTCTCACCCCAGAGGGATGGAGCCACGGCCCCGCTCTACTCCTGGTGGTCTCCACTTTGCCTGAATTATGAGCAGGTGATTTGTCTCATCTTTGCAGGACACAGAGTGCATTAACATGAAAATATCGCTTCTCAGAAAACAAGGCGGGCTTGAATGCCCTGTCGCCCGCTGGTCATTAGCCATCTGCCACCAGCACTCATACTCTGTTTATCACATTTGAAATTCAGAGCAGATGTTGCATAATACGGCGATCTTAAAAAACAAGGCAGGAGGCTCAAAGAGCAAATGCTTCACAGTAGTGATAAGGATCCTGGAAGGAAATTTTTTCCAATCTCAAGTCATGACTGGAGTACTCAAAGAGACCATGTTTTTTTAAAACCCACGCACACACACATCCCTCCTGATATTTAATGCGAACTGCTTTTTGTAGTGACGTGGAATAAATTGAAAAGTACACATGTGAAAGATGCCTGAGGAGACTGTTTAATAAATTTCACTTTAATAAGCAGCGTGGGATGTTGTAATAGTGGCTCTGGTGCAGAAGACCTCAGAGGTCAGCCTTTTACCCTAAGATGGGGCTCAACTTAGAGCAGTTTGACCTCCTATAGTTCACTCCTATAGCACATTTGGATCTCTCAGGACTCATAGCTGGCCAGCATGGTTTCCCTGAAAGTATATTTTTTTATTGATCCTCAAGATCCTATATTCCCCATACCTTCTCTCCCCCTCCCCCCCCTCTCTCTCACACACACACACACACACACACACACACACACACACACACACACCCCGTGCTTTCCTAGCCTCTCTGAAGCTGGACCACAGCTTCCTCTTCAGTTTCGATAACCTGAGTTCTAATAGTCTTTCATTTAATTGCACTCCCCTTCCACATCAGTGGTAGCATTTTAAAAGATTGATTATTATAATATTTTACCCAATCAAGTTATGCACATTCTAGACCCTTATTATGCCTTATATAAAGCACATTATTCATAGTGTATTAAATTTTGTGCTTATAGGAATTCTGGTTTTTAAAAAAAAACAAAAAAAAACAGATATCTGAACTGTTATCAGGAATGTAATGTATATTATAATTTTTCTTTGAGGAAAGTTAGCTTCAAATATAGTCTTTTGACTCAAAGGAAACATTTTCTCCACGCAAACCAGACCCTCATGCACACCCTTACCTGTGTATGTCCTCCCCCACCCCCTCACAGAGAATTTGGGAGGAATTCTTTTAAAAAGGGGAATATCAGATATATTGCTAAGCAAAAGTTAAGCAGCCAGTCTGAGAGGGTTAAATCAAAGTCACACCAGCAATTGGCCATTGACTCCAGTAGGAGAGATGATCAGAAGTGAGTCAATACTAAGTTTACCCCAGATTTAGGGGGAAATGTAGGACGAATGAGCTACAACTGTGGTACCTTTCAATAATTCAAGAAGCTTCTTCAGGAAAGAATATTTTTAGAGCATCTGACTTTGAGGTCTCTTCCAGAAATAAATCTTGAAGCAGTTTCCCAGGCCCTTATAGTTGCTGAATTCATATCTGGAGAAAGAGAGGACAGAATTAGGCAAATATAATTACCTAAAATATATATTAAAAAGTTATAAGTTATAGTGGTTTGGGTTTTTCTTTTTTGTTTTTCTAAAAGGAAATATGGGTTGAAAAGTAAAAACCAGTGTCATTCTAAAGGTACTGCTAGACTGCCGAAACCGGTTTGGCTCAGTGGTAGAGCGTCGGTCTGTGGACTGAAGGGTCTTGGGTTCGATTCCAGTCAAGGTCATGTACCTTGGTTGCAGGCACAGCCCTGGTGGGGGATGTGCAAGAGGCAGCTGGTCGATGTTTCTCTCTCATCGACGTTTCAAGCTCTCTATCTCTCTCCCTTCCTCTCTAAAAAATCAATAAAATATATTTTAAAAAATAATAATAATAAAAAATAAAGGTCCTGCTAGACTGACTCACTAAAATAAATAATGACTAACTAAAACAAGCAAATGACACTTTGATCAAGCTAAGTTGGAAGCGCTATAAAAAATACTCTCTCAC